ATGACTGCTGAAGTTAAAAATTCAGATTATTAGTTTTAAAAAGAGACCAAGCTTGTGAATTTACAAGCAGTACTTCATTTAATTTGTGTACTTTTTAAGGCGTTTTATGGTATTTTATGGTTAACAGAGAAACAACTTGCATGAGTTCAGACAAACTTCAACACCAGAACCGTGACCCAGATAAGACTGGTTCCGACAACCCGCGGGCTCCGCTGACAACGCGAAGACTTTCAGTGTTTTGACCTTGTTTTGAGGGTCCCCTCCCTGTCTGGACCCGCCCCCCACCTGCCCACAGACTCATCTGATTGGCTGCCTGCTGGAAAGCCCGCCCACGGCTGCTGAGTCAAGCTTCGCCATTGGCCCCTCAACGCGCCAATCACTTTGTCCTCTCACGAGTCATGAGTTCCCGAAAATCGGTGTCTCTGGACCCGAACACCGTGACATGAACTCCACGGGATGTTTAAACGTTTAAAAACAGCTCAGACAAGTTAAATAGTGCGTAATATTCTTCCGCACAAAGGCCTTACGTGATTAGCTTCGCAGCTAGCGCGTCGGGTTACATAATTAGCCGGTTAGCTACAGAGATAAACTGAAGCTAATTATATTAGTTAGAAAGCTGCAAGTCGAATGAACGTTAATTCCGGTGGAGTGACTCAGTTACGACAGGTGAGGTTGCTGGTTAACAGGTGACCTCGCGCTATGACGTCTGATCGAACGGCTGTTAGCCCGCACGAGGCTAGCACAGCAAGCTAACAAGTGTTGGACGGCTTCAGATTAATTTCAGGTCAAACTACAATCCGCCTCCACGAGACGGAACACACCGGACCGTGTCCGTGCCAACGCCTGAGCGGGAAACAGACCGGACCGAGCCGATTACTGACCTCCAGAAAGGTCTCAGCGGCTCCGCTTGCGCCCAGTATCCCGGATGCCCTTCGCCTCTCCCGGTAAAACGATGACAGCAGCTCCGGGAGCGCAGAACGTTCAAGCGAGGCCGTCTGTGACGTCATGACGCACTCACGGATGGGCGGAGTCCCAGTTGTAGTTTTTTTATTTTCGTCCAAGTTTATAAACATTAAGCAGTGTTGTAAAGTACCACAAAGTCATTCTTGAGTTAAAGTACAAGTATCTTACCAAAATATTACTATGGTAAAAGTTAAAGTCTCCTTTAGGAATATTACTTGAGTTAAAGTCTTAAAGTAACAACAACAACAACAACAACAACAACAACAACAACAACAACAACAACAACAATAATGTATTTTATTTATAAAGCGCCTTTCAGGACACCCAAAGACACTGTACAATAAAAGTATCTGATATTTTTGTACTTAAGTATTAAAAATAAAAGTATTGATTTAAAATGAGCAGTTAGATTTTCTGTAATGACATTTATTAGGAGGTGACCTCCCCAAAATGTGCAGAAATGACTGTTGTATTAAAATAACTCTCAGTATGTGAGGACACTGGTCTGCAGTACGGGGGTTCCTCAGGGAACCGTGCTGGTACCATTCCTCTTCACCCTCCACACTGCAGACTTCACCATCAACACCCCACAGTGCCTCCTCCAGAAGCTCTCTGATGACTCTGAGGACAGACGGTGGACTCAGAGGACAGACGGTGGACTCAGAGGACAGACGTTGGACTCAGAGGACAGACGGTGGACTCAGTGGACAGATGGTGGACTCAGAGGACAGACGTTGGACTCAGAGGACAGATGGTGGACTCAGAGGACAGACGGTGGACTCAGAGGACAGACGGTGGACTCAGAGGACAGATGGTGGACTCAGAGGACAGACGTTGGACTCAGAGGACAGACGTTGGACTCAGAGGACAGACGGTGGACTCAGTGGACAGATGGTGGACTCAGAGGACAGACGTTGGACTCAGAGGACAGATAGTGGACTCAGAGGACAGATGG